AACTTTACAGTATTCCTTTTGACATCTAAAATCCTTATTTTATATATTTAAAAATAATTTTTCAACATCTGGAGATGTCAAAGGAGCAAATTGGAAATATGATATTAGATCATTCGCTACATTTATTTTAATACTTTCACTGTAATCCCTAATTTTGTCTAGATCCAGATTTTGTTCCATGACATATTCTCATTTGTTTAATAATATTGTCACTATTGTATTCATTAATGGTAACTCTGACTTGGTCAAATTGAATCAACTATGGATAATTTTTCATTTTGTAACTCTTTAAGAATTACTTTAATTTGGTAATTTTCTTCAATATCTCATAAAATATTTTTAGCATAGGCATATCCATATAAACCTCTACATTTGATGTCAACAACATTCAATCAATCTTCCTACTCTGACCAATGCTGATAAATGAAATTATTATCAGTTATGTAATTTACATATAAATTAAAAATCTACTCACATAGATTATTTAGAAACATTTACCACATATATATGGACAAAGTAAAGGATGTATTCCTACTAGTAAAACCGATTTTACAACTATTTCGATAAGCACAACTAGTGAAGGTCACTAGTGTCAAACGCAGGTTAATGCAATGCTTGTTTTCATTCGTAAATAAGTAACCAGTACAAACTTGTGTTTAATATATTAGATTAGGCATATTATTAAAATGGAGAGAATCTTGCGAGGTATTATGAGATATCGAGTGCTTGATAGAGCGAGCATGGTAAACCAATTTCAAGAAGTACGCGACAATCCAGTGGTGCGTAAGTGTATATCACTAACCTTGTTTGTGGTGTATTGTGTACTTTATATTTGCATTGATATTTTATGAACTTTGGCCAATGTGGTATCTATAAAAGACTTTTTCCTATTCGAAAATAATCGTACCAAGAAAGAAAACTAATTACGTATTGTAATATAATGCAACATCCCAACATTTACTTATTTTTCATTAAAGTTAGACAACAATGACAGTTAAATGTTTAAAATTAAAGCGTCAAAGACTTTGACATTTGTGTCTTACAGCCAACCGAAAAACTATTTATTCTGAGCGTTATTTCTGTTACTTTTATGTTTCAAATAATTGAAAAATAATACATTAACATTAATTTTAGCCCAAAGCAATTTTTTATACATGCATGGACAGCAGGATGATTCCCACAAGATTCACAGAAACAAGCGTCGGCGACATGTTTGTGGGTTCGTTATTGTTGATTAAATTAAATTAATTACAATAAAGTTAATTACAACATAATGATAAAATAATGATGTTAATCGCTGTAAAGAAGCTTAATCTTAAAACAAAGGCCAACAGTTACGTCTAAGAATGGAATATATGTCTACACAATAAAATTGGAGTGTCTGTTTGTAATTTGTAATATCAAAAGAAAAATTCCAGATTTCGGAGAGATGATGTATTTGCGTTGCTGATAACGAAAATCGCATTTAAAATTTTTGTCTGTCCGCGTTTGTTCCGGGTAATCTCCGAAATGGCTGGGCCGATTTCGACCGGACTTTCACTGGAGGGTAGCTGACATAGACGGGCATATTATAGG